CTTCATCACTCCATGTCATCGTCTCTGTCTCCATCTCAGGGATCTCTGGTTCTCTAGGTAGGGTCCCACTCTCGGCTCTTCTCCGCTGATGGTCCTAGAGGCCGCAGCTCCTAGACTGGAGAAATAATCGCTCCCTTCCTTGCTATAAAACGTCTTCCTTTGCACTTCCAACCCTCATAATCAGTCCTGATAACCATTATTCACTACAGTATCACGAGTTACCCATCTGTAATTCATTTCATCAGCTCTGCCTAGACTGATTGGATAGTATTCACTGGAGATTCTGCCTTCCTCCATGCCCCCTAGCTCTAGGTTCCCTCTTGAAAGCTTGTAAGTCAGTCACTTCTTGCCTTTGTAGTCCCTCCCTCTCCATTTGGGTAGCCAATGTCCAAGTTGCCCATCTCTGCCCACTCTTGTGTGTGGAGGGGGTGGGAATGTTCCTTGCTGTAAGGATTTGTTCCTTCTTTTGAGTCACTGCATCCGTAGGTATAGGTCAAGTTCATCAGATTGTATCAGCTCACTCTTTTTTTTCTTTTTTTTTTCCCCCTCTTCTTTCTTCTCCTGGTTGAGCTCTGATCATCTAGTCATCTGGTCCAGGTCACGTGGGTACTATCTGCAAGTGTGGGTGTTCTTGTGCCCACGCCCTCTCTTCCCATCAGCTGGTAGCTCCACTCTCCACTAGAGTCCTCCATGGCCACGTCACTAACTCTGGGCCCAAGAGTCCCCAGGTCTCCTCTCACTGCTTGCCAAGCAGGTCACCAACTGGGTCCACAGAACATTGTAAGGCTTAGCTTGCCGCTTCATTGCTGGTTTTACCCCTCTTCCCCCTATCAGTGATGCATGTGGTCACCAATCAGAGCATGTATTTCCGTTGGGTCTTAGTCTTGGAAGGGGGTTTGCGTTGAGAGGACCTGACCACTTGCCTTGATGTTTCCTACGGAAGCAATTTGTTTGTTCTTGTAGTAACAGTTCCTCTGCCTCTATTGTTTTGTATTTTTCCTGTAGATCTTCCTTTCAAGAAGTATCTTTTGTTCTTCTAGCCACTTCAGGCTGGTCTGCTCGCCCTTTCAAGTGGAGATTTCTCATCTCTGGAGATCTGGATGTGGTTCGGGTTTCTACCTATAGTTTTACGTATTGCAAAGGCTCCGCAAGAAGCCTCATTCACTGGGTACGCTGTAGCCCCAATTTAGGTGTTCCAATCAGTTATAGGCAGAAGACAGACTTACAAGCAAGCCTTCTAGTGTGATGTTTCTGACTATTCCTTTCTCTCTCCCTCCAGTATCTACTTTGTATTATAGTGCAAGGAAAACCAAGATTCAAAAAACAGCCAAGCATCTTAATATGATTCCCCCACATTCCAACCACGACTCAATCCCTGTATCTCAGAGCCCTGCCGTTCCAAGGCTGTGCATATATCGTCCTTTATCTCTGTCCCATTTGGCCCATTCAAACATGCCCAATTGTTCTCCCATCTGCCCCGTTTCTCCACTTCCCTCTCCCTTCCTGTATATTGCCCCCCTCCCCAGCACCCAAGCTCTCCTGCGTCCAATCCCCGTCCT